CCCCCTCACCCACTCTACCACCTCTCTTTCCTCCTCCCTCGTCTACTCCCACTCCTATTTTTTACCAAGATTTATTTTTAATTATCTTTATTCACAGATAAATAACTCTATGTTAAGTAAAGATTTCAATACATAGTATGAAAAAACCTGTTCCTTAACAGTTGAGACAAGGGCTATTCAAAGTCATTGCTTCTTGGGGCTGGCGCTGTGGCGCAGCAGGTTAACGCCTTGGCCTGAAGCACCAGCAACCCATATGGGTACTGATTCTGGTCCTGGCTGCTCCACTTCCGATCCAGCTCTCTGCTATGGCCTGATAAAGCAGTAGAAGATGGGCCAAGTCCTAGGGCCCCTGCACCCACATGGGAGACCTGGAAGAAGCTCCTGGCTCCTGGCTTTGGATCAATGCAGCTCCGGCCATTGCAGCCAGTTGGGGAGTAAACCATCAGATGCAAGACCTCGATCTTTGCCTCTGCCTCAGCCTCTCTGTGAAACTCTTCACTTTCAAATAAAAAAAAAGCAAAGCTGTTGCTCCTCAAAGTATCAATTTCACTTCTACAGATTTCCTTAATTTAGGTGCTTTGTTATCATAGGTCAGGGAGAACATAAGCTATTTGTCTTTTTGGGACTGGATTATTTCACTAAGTTTGTTTTCCAGTTTCATCTGTTTTGTTGTAAATGACTGGATTTTTTATATGGTGTACATGTCCTGTAATTTCTTTGCCTAATCTTTAGTTGATGGGCATTTGGGTTGATTGTGTATCTTAGCTATTGTGAATCAAGCTGTAGTAAACATGGGGGTACTCTTTTTGTTTTTAATTTGACAGGTAGAGTTATAGACAGAGAGAAAGGTCTTCCTTCCATTGGTTCATTCCCCAAATAGCTGCCACGGCCAGTGCTGCGCCAATCCCAAGCCAGGAGCCAGGTGCTTCCTCCCGGTCTCCCATGTGAATGCAGGAGCCCAAACATTTGGGCCATCCTCCACTGCCTTTCTGGGCCAGAGCAGAGAGCTGGACTGGAAGAGGAGCAGCCAGTACTAGAACCTGGTGCCTGTCGCTCCTCCTCTTCATGGAGGAACGACACAGGACCCTGTGCTGTTCTTTGGTCTGCTCGGCCCTCTCCAGGTTTGCTGCTGGTTCTTCCCGGGTTGGCTACTGTTCCCGCTGGCCACTTTCCCCACTTCCGCGGGGGAGCGGCACACCGTCAGCCGGCTCTCTCGGGGGCTGCACAGGTGTTCCCTCAGATGGATGTTCCTGGTGCATGTTGTCTCTCTCCTCCTTTATAGTCCTCTTCCACCAATCCCAACTCTGCTACCCACACGCTGAGTATGCTGCTCTCCTCCAATCAGGAGTAGGTCCTACAGTTTATTGGTTGAACTGGAGGCAGCTGTGTAGAAGCTGTTTCCTCCGCTCCCAGCGCCATATTGTGGGAGAGCAGATGCATAGAATAAGTCTTAATTCCAGTAACTTAGTCTAGTCCGAGTTGCTCCCAGTTGCTCCCCACAGGTGCCCATATGGGATGCTGGCACCGCAGGTGTAGAATTAACCAATTGAGCCACAGCGCTGGCCCATAGATAACTCTTTCATATGCTGATGCCATTTCCCTTGGGTAAATTCCCAGGAGTGGGATGGCTGGGTCATATGGTAGGTCTGTATTCAAATTTCTGAGGTATTTCCATACTGTCTTCCACAGTGGCATTACCAGTTTACATTCCCACCCATAGTGGATTAGGGAACCTTTTCCGCTACATCCTCACCATCATTTGTTGTTTGTTGATTTCTCTATTAAAGCCACTCTAACCTGGGTGGGGTGGAACCTCATTGTGGTTTTGATTTGCATTTCCCTGATGGCTAATGATCCTGAGCATTTTTTATGTGTCTGTGGGCCATTTGGATTTCCTCCTTTGAAAAATGTCTGTTTAAGCCCTTTGCCCATTTCTTAATTGGGTCATTTGTTTTGTTGTTGAGTTTCATTATCTCTTTATATATTCTGGTTATTAATGCTTCATCAGTTGCATAGTTGGCAAATAATTTGTCCCATTCTGTTGGTTGCCTCTTTGCTTTGCTGAGAGTTTCTTTAGCAGCACAGTAACTTCTCAGTTAGATGTAATGCCGTCTGCTAATTTTGGCTTTGCTTGCCTGTGCCTCTGGGGTCTTTTCCAAGAACTCTTTGTCTATGCCAGTATCTTGCAGGGTTTCCCCTGCAATAATTTGATGGTATAAGGTCATAGATTTAGACCTTTAATGCATCGTGAGTAGATTTTTGTGGAAAGTGTATGGTAAGAGTATTGTTTTACATTTCTGCACATGGAGATCCAATTTTCCCAGCACCATTTGTTAAAGAGACTGTCCTTGCTCCAGGGAATGGTTTTAGCTCCTTGGTCAAATATATGTTGGTCGTAGATGGATGGACTGATTTCTGGCATTTCTATTCTGTTCCATTGGTTTGTTCATCTATTTTTGTACCATTACCAGGGTGTTTTGATTATAAATGCCCTATAATATGTTTTGAAATATGATATTCTGATGCCTCTGGCTCAGTTTTTGTTGTATAAAATTGTTTTAGCTATTTGAGGTCTCCTTACCTCCATATGAATTTCAGCATCATTTTTTTCCAGATCTGAGAATGTCTTTGGTGTTTTGATTGGTATCACATTGAATCTGTAAATTATTTTTGGAAGAATGCACATTTTGCTGAAACGGATTGTTCTAATCCATGAACATGGGAGTTTTTTCTATTTTTTGGTATTTGCTTTTATTTCTTTCTTTAATGTTTTGTAATTCTCATTGTAGAGATCTTGGACATCCTTTGTTAAATTTATTCCAAGGTATTTAAATTTTTTGTAGCTATTGTAAATGAGATTGATCTTAGAAGTTCATTCTCAGCCATGTGTGTGTGTGTGTGTGTGTGTGTGTGTGTGTGTGTAATTATATTACCTGCAAATAAGGATAGTTTGACTTCATCCTTACCCATCTGAATCCCTTTGATTTCTTTCTCTTGCCTGATGTCTTTGCTAAAACTTCAGGACTATATTGAATAGCAGTGGAGAGAGCAGTTATCCTTGTCTGGTTCCAGATCCCAGTGGGAATACTTCCAGCTTTTCCCCATTCAATAGGATGCTGGCTGTGGGTTTGTCATAAATTCCCTTGATTATGTTGAGGAATGTTCCTTCTAAACCCAATTTTCTTGGAGTTTTCATCATGAAAGGGTGTTGTATTTTATCAGATTCTCTGCATCTATTGAGATAATCATATGGTTTTTGTTTAGCAGTTTGTTAATATGGTGTATTACATTGATTTGGGAATGTTGAACAATCCCTGCACACCAGGGATAAATCTCCCTTGGTCTGGGTGGATGATCTTTCTGATGCGTTGTTGGAATCAATTGGATATAATTTTATTGAGGATTTTTGCATCTATGTTCATCAAGGAAATTGGTCTGTAGTTCTCTTTTTCTGTTGTATCTTTTGCAGGTTTAGGAATTAAGGTGATGCTATCTTCATAGAAGGAATTGTGGAAGATTTCCTCTCTTTCAATTGTTTTGATAGCTTCAAAGAATTGGAGTTCTTCTTTAAATGTCCGGTAGAATTCAACAGTGAAGCCATCCGATCCTGGGCTTTTCTTTGTTGGGAGGTTCTTTATTATTGATTTATATTCTCTCTTGGTTTTGTGTCTATTTGGGTTTTCTATGTCATCATGGCTCAATTTAGGTAGGTTGTATGTGTCCAGGAATCTATTTACGCTAGATTTCCCATTTTGTTGGCATACAACTCTTTGTAGTAATTTCTGATGACTTTTTATTTCTGTGATGTCTGTTGTTACATTTCTTCTTTCATCTCTATTGATTTGAGTCCTTTCTCTCCTTTTTTTCAGTTGGGCCAATGTTGTGTCGATTTTGTTTATTTTTTAAAAAAACCAGCTCTTCATTTTGTTCTTTTGTATTTTTTGATTCAATTTTGTTGTTTTCTTCTCTAATTTTAATTATTTCTTTCCTTCTACTAGTTTTGGGTTTAGTTTACTGTTTTTTTTTTTTTCTTGGTCCTTGAGGTGCATAGATCATTCATTTATTTGGTACATTTCCAGTTTCTTCATGTAGATTTCAATTGCTATAAATTTCCCTCACAACACTGGTTTTGCTGTATCCCACAAATTTTGGTATGTTGTATTGTCATTTTTGTTTGTTTCCAGAATTTTTTTGATTTCTCTTTTGATTTCTTCTATGACCCACTGTTCATTGAGTAACATATGTTGTTCATTCTCCATGTATTTGCATATGATGTGGGAATTCTTGAGTTGTTGATTTCCAGCTTCATTGCATTGTGGTCCGAGATGATGCATGGTATGATTTCGATTTTTTTGAATTTGCTGAGATTTGCTTTATGGCCTAGCATGTGATCAATCCTGGAGAAAGTTCCATGTACTGGAGAGAAATATGTGTACTCTTTGGCTGTGAAGTGGAAGGTTCTGTAGATATTTGCTAGGTCTATTTGGTCTATAGTGTTGATTAACTCTGTTATTTCTTTACTGATTTTCTGTTTTGTTGATCTGTCCATTGCTGAGAGTGGGGTATTGAAGTCCCCCATCACTATTGTATTTGGATTTATATCTCTCTTTAAATCCTTTAACATTTCTTTAAAATATCCAGGTGCAGGGACTGGCGCCCATGGCTCAGTTGGTTAATCCTCCGCCTACGGTGCTGGCATCCCTTATGGGCAACAGGTTCTCGTCCCAGTTGCTCCTCTTCCAGTCCAGCTCTCTGCTGTGGCCTGGGAAGGCAGTGGAGGGTGGCCCAAATGCTTGGGCCTCTGCACCTTATGGGAGACCAGGAGGAAGCACCTGGCTCCTGGCTTCGGATCGGTGTAGCTCCGGCCATAGTGACCATTTTGAGGGTGAACCAATGGAAGGAAGACCTTTCTCTCTGTCTCTCTCACTGTTTAACTCGGTCAAATAAAAAACAAGTCTTAAATATCCAGGTGCCCTGTGGTTGGGTGCATATATATTTTTTAAAGAAGATTTTGAGATGTGGAGTTACAGAAAGTGAGAGGGAGAAACAGAGAGAAAGGTCTTCCTTCCATTGGTTTACCCCCTAGATGGCCACAGCGGTTGGAGCCGCACCAATCTGAAGCCAGGAGCCAGGAGTTTCTTCCAGATCTCCCATGCGGGTGCAGGGGCCCAAGCACTTGGGCCATCTTCTACTGCTTTCCCAGGCCACAAAAGAGAGCTGGATTGGAAGAGGAGCAGCCAGGACTAGAACCAGTGCCTATATGGGATGCTGGCGCCACAGGCAGAGGATTAACCTATGCCATGGTGCCACCTTCTAGGTGCATATACATTTATAATAGTCACTCACATCTTCCTGTTGAATTGATCCTTTGATCAATATATAGTGTCCTCCTTTGTTTCTCTTGATGGTTTTTGTGTTAAAGCCTATTTTGTCTGGTATTAGGATGGCCACCCAGCCCTTTTTTGGTTTCTGTTAGCATGGATTATTTTTTTCCTTCCTTTCACTTTTAGCCTGTGAGCATCTTTGTTGGTAAGATGTATTTTTTTGTAGGCAGCAAATAGATGGGTTTTCTTTTTTAATCTATTCAGCGTGTCTGTGTCTTTTAACTGAGGAGTTGAGACCATTTACATTCAGTGTTACTATTGTTAAGTACCGACTTTGCCCTGCCATGTTTCTGTAAATAGTTCTGTTTATGTACTTTGGATTTCATTTGTTCTTTTGCTGGGTAGTTATCTGCTATTTCAGTGATGTTCCTGTTCCTGTTTGTGTGTAGCACGTGTTTGAGCATGTGTCCTAGGCTGGGTGTGTACTTACAAATTCTTTCAATTTCTGTTTGCTGTGGAAGATCCGTATTTATCCTTCATTCATAAATGAGTAAAGTAATCTGGGTTGACAGTTTTTTTTCTCTTAGGACTTGGAGTATGTCTTGCCATTCTCTCCTTGCCTGTGGGGTTTGTGATTACATGAAGTCTGGGGTGAGTTTAATTGGGTTTCCTCTGAATGTGATTTGGCGTTTGACTCAGGCACACTTTAGGGTCTTTTTTTTTTTTAAAGATTTTATTTATTTATTTTAGAGGTAGAGTTACAGAGAGTGAGAGAGAGAGACAGAGAGAAAGGTCCTCCTTTGTTGACTCACTCTCCAAATGGCCTCAACAGCCGGAGCTTCTACGATCCAAAGCCAGGAGCCAGGTGCCCCCTCTTGATCTCCCATGCGGGTGCAGGGGCCCAAGCACCTGGACCATCTTCCACTGCTTTCCCTGGCCATAGCAGAGAGCTGGACTGAAAGAGGAGCAACTGGGACTAGAACCAGTGCCCATATGGGATGCTGGCGCTGCATGTGGAGGATTAACATACTAGTCATGCCACTGGCCCCAGGGTCTTGTCTTTATGTGTTACGGAGGAGAGCTTTGCCACTATGGAGGATCTTTCCTGGTCGTGTCTATTGGGAATTCTGTGTACCTTTGAACTTGGATGTCTGTTTCTTTCTCCAGAAGGGGGATATTCTCTGCTATTATTTCATTAAGAAGGCCTTCTAATCCTTTCTCTGTTTTGATGCCTTTTGGGATTCTTAGGGTTTGTATGTTGGATAATTTGATAGAATTTTGCAGATCTTGAACTGTGTATTTCAATTTCCTGATTTCTTCTTCTTGTGTTTGGTCTGACTGTGTTATATCCAGAAATTTATCTTCTAGTTCTGATAGTCATTCTTCTCATTTCTTCTATTTTTGAGACTATCCACTGTGGTTTTTTATTTGCTCTATTGAATTCTTCCTATCTAGAATTTCATTCTGATTTTTCTTCAGTATCTCAGTTTCTTGGTAACACTTTTCATTTAGGTCTTGAATATGTTTTTGATTGCTTCTTAGTAATCTGACGATTAATTTTCCAAATTCTGTTTCTGACATATCTTTAATCCCTTCTTGTCCTGCTTCTATTACTGAAGAGGTAATGTAATGTTCCATTCTGGGGCTAATACTATCTTCCTTAGTCTTATTAAAATTTTTCCCCTTGTTTCCCAGAATTCCTGGTTTATTTTATCGTCATCTTTAATATGTGTCTTGGTGTTTGTGGTGAGATTCCCCTATGCTGTGAGCTGCTATGTGTCTGTGTGTTGCCAGTGGAAACAGGCAATCCCACCCCTGGAAGTCCTGCTCACTTCTGGATGGTGATGGGGGCAGTGGAGGCAGATTGAAGAGCTCTGATGCGCTAAGCCCCGCCTACTTGGGCCAGGCTCTGGTGTGTGGAAGGAGCTAGGGATTTCAGTGTTTAGAACTACTCCCCATTGTACAGTTCGTGTGGTGGTGGTGGGGAGAAATTACTCTGAACTGTTGCGATCCTTGTTTCCTGGTGGAGTGTGTGTGGTAAAGTGGCCCCACAATAGGTGGGTGTGTGCACAGTAGGCAAATACGGTAGCACCGTGTTTACATTCAGAGATGTAAACAGACAATATGGCTTCTCCCAGTTGGCAGCAGGTGTGGCTGGGGGTTGGGGGAGACGTGGATGGGCAGGGGTATGCCGAGTTTTCCATCTTTTCCCCATTCTTCCCTCTTGGGATTTCAAACAGAGTTCCCCTGGCTCTCCCCCCACTGCTAATCACAGCTCCACGGATTTGAGACCTCGTGTCTTACCTGGTCCACCCGGGAGAGGGAGGGCATGGCGTCAGTCGCCCCATTCAGCTTCTCCATCGCACCTCTGCTGTGTTTCTGTGACTCTGCTCCTTCTGTGTGGGCTACTCAGTCTCTGCTGGACTCCCGGGCTTCTCCACACGAAACTGCAGTGGCTCTGCCACCAGCCCCTATCCCCTTTCCTTATTAACAATCTATTTTCCCCCGAGACTCAGAATGTCTTGTTGCTATACTGCCATCTTGGCTCCTCCCCCCAGTCTGTCTCTTTTAACTGAAGAGTTGAGGCTATTTGCATTCAAGGTGACTATTGATAAGTAACAATTTTTCCCTGCCACTTTCTCATAATTAATCCTATTGTTTACTTTGGAGTCCCATTGTACTTTCACTGGAGGTGTTTGTGCCTTTACTTTCTTTCATAGTGATGACCATGATTCTGTGTTTCTGTGTGTACACATCCTTAAGCATCTTTTGTAAGGCTGGACGGGTCATGAACAATTCTTTCCATTTCTGTTTGTTATGGAAGGTCTTTATTTCACCTTCATTCATAAATAAGAGCTTTGCAGGGTACAGTATTCTGGGTTGACAGTTCTGTTCTCTTTAGACCTGGAATATATTTCTGTATTCTCTCCTAGCCTGTAGGGTTTCTGATGAAAAGCCAGCTATGAGTCTAATTGGAGATCCTCTGAAAGTAATCTAGTGTTTCTCTTGTGCACATTTTAGATCTTTATGTTTTACTGTGGAGAGTCTGATTAAAACCTGTCGTGGCAAAGATCTTTTCTGGTACTTAGATATGCCTTTCTCTGAATTAGGGAAGTTTTCTGTTATTACTTCACTAAAAAGGCATTCTAATCCATTCAGTCTTTCCATGCCTCAGGAACTCCTAAGGCCAGTATGTTGGGTCGTTGGATAGTATCCCATAGATCTTCAACAGTGTTTTTTAGTTTTATAATTTCTTCTTGTGTTTGGTCTGACTGTAAAATTTTCATTGATTTATTGTCTAACTTGGATATCTTTCTTCTGCTTCATTGAGTCTGTTGTTAAGGTTTTCCACTGCATTTTTATTTGTTCTATAGAATCAAGAACCATATTTTAGCACTAAAAGGAATCATTTTCAAATATATTACCTGGCACTTGGACTGAATGATTTGAAGAGCAGCCTTTGAAATGTGAACACTCCGGGGCCGAGTCCCAGCCTTACTGCTTGTTTGCTGTGCAGTGCCTTTGCCTCTTACAGCTGAATTTTTGGGCAGTTTCAATGCACGGTGATTTAAAATTCATGATATCTAGCAGATGGGAGGTTCTCAGGAAATGGTACCCTCTAAAAGGGCACTGATGGGAATTCTCATTAAATCTGATGATAACAAACAGAATCAGTTCACACATTGGTAAACTCCAGGAAAGCCCCATTGAGGGCACAGCTTCTGAAAGATCTTCTCCCTGGGTGATTTCTCCCAGAGGGTGATGGAGCACTTTGAGGTGCTCTCATTTCAACAGATCCACATTTGGAAGTTACAAAGCTGTGTGTATGTGTATGTGTGTGTGTGCACATGGAGAACTCAAATAATCTACTCACATCCAAACTCGGTGGGAGTTTCTGGCACTGAAGTTGTCTCTGAAGTTTATGTCCCCTGGCCCTCAGGGAGGCTGTGTCTCAGGAGCCTACACATGCAACTCAGCACCTTTCTCACACCCAAGGCTCCTTGATTTTCCACTCTCCCCCCCACCCACAGTTCTCCTGGGATCTGCCCACCCTCCCCATCTTTCATGCTAGCTAAAGCTAAAGAGCTTGTCCCAAATGCCAGGTCAAGGTCTGTGTGTGGAACAGGTACCTCTAAACTTGTAGAAGACCTGAGGACTCAACACCGTCTCAAATTGTCCCAGCTTATTCCAACAGAGAGGAAGCCCACCTGTCACACATTGTGCCAGCACCCAGGGACACAGGGCAACTGCTGACTGATGTCAGGACCCTCACCTCATTCCAGGCCCACTCCCAACTTCCAGGACCACCCTCACCAGCTCCTGATGTTGAGATTTTGTGTCCCAATTCTAGCCCAAGCTCTGACCTGGTAACACAAATGTGATTCCTTCTATGAGCTGGGGCCCTAGTACCAGGTGTTGTGTGTGACTCACCCTGACCATTCCCATGCATGGGGTCCGCTTGACACCGAGTTACAAGCAGCTGTGACTTGCTGCCTGAAAAATGCCTCTCTGAGCTGGTGTGAGGGGGAAACCATGCTGGGAAGTGAAGCCCTGCCTGTAGCATCCCTCCTGGTTATGGGGTGGGAGCTGTGGTGGGGAAATACGCCCACTTCCTCACTTTTTCCAGGGGACAACCCCTGGTCCTGCCCCACGCTGTCTCCCAGAGATGCGCAGTGGGACTGAGTTCCAGCTGCTCAGAGGCAGCCTACGCTTCTGCGCGCCCTCCATCTCTGCCTTCCCTCCATGACTCACCTCTCCACTCCTAACGCTGGTGTCTCCTAGAGTCACCTCCCAAATCAACTCCTTGTCTCAGGCTCTGCTTTTGGGGGAGCCCTACCTCAGACAGCCTTTAACTCCTACTGACCATCTCTATGTGTCAGACACAGTGTGGGCCTCGGGCCACCTCTCTGAGTGGGGCTATTCTCACTCCCATTTTACAGATGAGAAAACAGAGGCCACCAGGCCAGCAAATGGCAGAGCCAGGATTTGAACTCGGACTTTCTGGCTGCAGAAGCCTTGGCTGTTCCATCCCATGGTACTCCCGTGGTTTCATTCACTCTGGGTCTCTCCCCTGCCTGATGAAGTCCTGGCTACCTGGCAGAGGTGGACACAGGTGATCAGTGAGTGTGATACCAATTCACTCCATAAATAAAGAGCAGGAAATTGTAATTCAGGCAGTGATTGTACTGAGACAGCTGGCCAGCCCACGGAGGCAGGCAGCACTATTATTTTAAGAAAATCTTGGGCATAGCCTAGCAGTCTTTGTGGTTGTGGAGGTTGGCACTACAATGGTGTTGCCCTCCCCACCAACAGGCTGTGGAGGAAGACCTGGGGGAAAACTCAGCTTGCGGGGCCACAAAATTTCTACTCCTTGTAAGTGATGGAAAACTAACAGTCTGGAGGTCTGATTTCTCAGTAATTTTTGTTGTTTTCATTTCACGAGGGAGAGAGAGAATGCGAATGAGAAGGGATAGGGAGAGGGGGAGGGAGAGAATGAATGAGAATCGTCCATCTGATGATTGACTCCCCAAATGCCTGCAGCATTCCGGGCTGGATGAGTTTCCCATATGGGTCATAGAGACCCAAGTACTTGAGCCATCATCTGCTGCCTCCCAGGGTGTGCGTTAGCAGGAAGCTGGATCATGAATCAAAGGAAACAGGACTCAAACTCGGCACTCTGATACAGGACACAGGCATCCCAAGCAGCATCTTAACCATGGCAGCAGTTGCCCTCCCCTGGGGGTCTGATGCCCAGTTTTCTCTGTGTGATCTTCAGGGACCTCAGTTACGTGTTATGAGTTACGTGGACTGAACCTGTGAGCAGGGCCAACAGGTCCCATCAGTTGCAGTAGGCATCCCTGAGTTAATTCCCAAAGTGTTGGCTCCTTCATTTGCATGTTTGCCAATACTGTTTGGTCTGTGGCTTACCAGGGACCTAACTTCAGCCTTGGAAAGGGCGTGTAGAGGATGGCCTTGTCCTGTCTCAGATGGCTAATCACACATGTCTCATGTATTTTTGGGCCAAGACTTTAGAAGAGATGGACATTTGTTTATTCAAATAACCAGCAACTTTAGAGTACACCTTTGTTTCTTGAGTTTGGTACTACAGACACAAAAGTAGGCAATACAGAGCCCTCGACTCTTACCAGGAGATGCCCTTGCTAAGGGATGAGTATGATCCAAAAAGATGTGGGTCTTCTCTGCCTCCCTTGAGTGATGGGCCTTATGAGTTCCCTTCTTGTAAGGGAGTAACCTACAGCCATTCTGGAGGGGAAGATGAGCACCATCCAGACTAGGGACCTCTGCTTCTGGCACTGAAGAGAGAACTGGAGAGAGGGCATCCCAGGGCAAAATCAGGAGGGGTTCCTGGAGGAGGTGCTGTTTGAAAGGGGCACAGGACTTCAGCAGTGGCAGATGGAGAGAGGGTGGTAGGTGACAAAGGCAAAGCAGATGTGTACAAAGTCTCCCAGGGAGGGACATGGGGAACCCCTGCAGGGCACAAGGAGTCTCAGTAGGATGCTGCAGAGGCTAGCTGAGGAGAAGGGGAGAAGGCCGGAAAAGGCGAGACGCGGTCACTCAGCTCACCCATGGAAGCCTCTGGATTCACCCCAAGGAGTGGGCAGTTCTGAAAGGAGGTCTGGTAGACAAACGTGACAAGCAGTGCTTGGAGTGACAGCCACAGAACTCAGTACCAGCTGACTTCAGCGCAGAGAGGGGTTTATTAGAAAGATACGGCAGGGCCCATCAAACTGAAGGAAAAGTTGGCCCACCTGGCCTTGGGCAAGAACAGGACCAGCACACCCAGGAGGAAGCTGTGGCCGGGGGAAGTGAGCAGGGCATTGGTCAGGTATTGCCATGGTTAAAGCTGCTTTGCCAAAGGCCCCCGACGCAGGGGGCTCACAACAGCAAACACGTACTTTGCTCATTCACAGGCCTGGGTGTTGGCTGGAGACAGCTCTACTGTGAGCCATGGTTAAGTTTCTGTCTGCAAAGTACATCTCTGTTCTTCTGGGAGCTGGTAGCTACCTGGGGGGCTTGCCTTTTTGTGACTGAGGGCAAGAGAGCAAGCGACACCACAGAGCATGTGAGGCCTGTACTTGGGACATTCTTGGGGATATTCTATTGGCACAGCGAGTCCCATGGAGAAAGGGAAAGAAAAGCAAAGAAGTCCACGAGGAGTGTGTGTGTGTGTGTGTACGTGCACGTGTGTGCGTGTGCATTGTGTGTTGTTTCCAGGCAAGATGCTGTCACTGTGTAGTAGGAGCAGATTTGCCAATGGAACCCGATGCTTGAGGGCAGCCAGTCTCAGAATCTCAGTGACTCCAGCTTCTCCCGTCTTGGGGTCACTTATCTGCTGCTGATCGGTGGACGCAGAACACCTGCACGCATTCATGTCCTCCCCAGCCTCATGGCGTGGGAGCCCCTTGTGTGGTTTTGCATGCTCCTGCTCAGGTCCAAGTGAGCAAGACTTCCTGGGAGTCCGGCATCTGCTTGCCCAAACCCTTGAGTAAAGTCTTGAGCCTTGTGACTTCTCAGTCCTGACCTACAAGAAGCAGTAAGGACCCAAGAGACCAGCTAACACAGGAGTTGAGGAGCGGGGGAGTCAGACCAGGTCCAAGTGGAAAGCACGGAGCTTCTGTGTAGGCTGCCCTTGAAGCTGTTCCCCCACTCGGCCCCGCCTCTGGGCCTCCGAGAGCTGGGAGTCCGTCTGGGAGGACAGCCCTGGCCACCGCGTCTCATTAGGTGCTGTACGCTTGGCTGCACTCTAGTTCAAAGATAAAACTTTTGATTCCCACTGGAGATTTTCCTCTCTTGGCCAGTCCTGGGGCTTGTGTTTCCAGAAGCAGAGCCCTGGTTGCTAGGTGACACGCTCACTCCTGGTTTCGGAGGCAGCTGAGGGAGAAATGAACCAGAGAGATCTGAAGCTTCTTCCACTTTGGAGAGGAGAGAGGAAGCCTAAAGGAGGAAGTAAGACCGCGGATTAATTGGGGAGTTACATAACTAGCAGACGCAGAGCTAACGTCTTCCCCAGCACCCTGCCGAGACCACTGAAATACACACACGTGCATTTTTCAAAAGAGGATAAAAGTGGGAACTTGAAATGATAAATATAGTTGGCTCTTTTGCTTGGGAGAGGAAATTTCTAATTATATAGCTTTTCTGAGCCCCATCAATCAGAGCTGCACCTTCATTAGCCTCCGCGTTATTAGAGGAACTTATTAAAACAATTAGGTCTGCAGAGAACTGCAGCCATCAGCACTCCTGACAGCTGCAGCTGGGATTTAAACTTTTCATTAAAATTGGTTGGAGGCTTTGCAAATCACTAAGAAATAGATGCACTTTTCTGAGAGGGGAGTGAGCAAAATTGTGAGTAAGCAATTCGCGAAAAGAACCACTAATGAAACAGTTTCCGGACTCATTAGCCATTGAAGAAATACATTACAACGATAAAGAGAAAGCATTTGAAATCTATTAAATATCACATATTTTAAAAATAATTCGCAGGTGGGGCAGAGGTACAGTGAATTTGCTATCTGGATGCATTTGGTTGGAAGGCAGTTGGGGAGGACTTGTTTAGAAAGTAGTTTGGCAACACCAGGAGTCTTAAACAGACAAAGCCTTTGGCTCAGAAGTGTGATGCTTTTATTTACAAAAATCTTCAGGCAGCATTGTTCTAAAGAGAGAAATCTGAAAAAACATATCTGCCCAACAGTGGAATATCAGCTAAAGAAAAAGCATGTAGTCTCGTGTAAAAGTAGTCTCAAGATTGTGAAAGGAACGTGCAGGTGATAAATCTGTACACTCGTCATGAGTCCAGTTTTGTAAAGTGAAAAAGAATGCAGAATGTACCTCCGTATAGCACCATAAGCCACGGTGTCCCAAGCTTTCCTGGTTCACGGAAGCTTTAGGTCTTAGTAATTCTTTCACAGAGGCCCTAGACATTCCCTGGGCACCAACACTAGCAAATAGAAAGCTAGCCCTGTCGTTTACTGAATAAGTGGGTACAAATAACGGAACAGCAGTGGTTAAGGCTGTATGTGATGGACGTTGTATGTCTGTAGGATGTTGTATGTCTGTAGGACGCTTAAAATGCCTCATAGGTTTACTGCAGCACCCAGGGTTCCTTAGCACCTAGTTCACCTAGCTGTGAACTAAAACATCCTACTGGTGACGAAAGAGAGTTCTGGAACCCCAGCTGCCTCTGTTGGGGTGTGGGGTCTCCCCTAGGCTAGTGAGTGGCCCTGTGCAAACTTGTAGCTTTTTTGGCCATCTACTGAATTGCAAAAATAGGAGGACTGCCCTCGGAGGGTTCCTGTGAGCTCTTAGGGTTCTGCACGCCTGACCCTTTACAAGAGTCATAGAATACTAGCCACTGTTAACTCTCGCCTGGGACTGTAGGTGATTTTTATTCTTTCTTTATACTGCTGCTGCTTTTTTACTTCCCCACATTTCCCAAATATTATGTAATATGTTTTACTTTTGTAACGAAAATTATTTTTATTTGTATTTTCCTCTCTCTGCCTTTAAAATTAATAAAAATTTTACAAAGAGCTCCCATCCACCAGGTCACTCCTCAAATGCCCCAAACAGCCAGGCCAACTGAGGGTGATTGGTCACATAACCTGGGTTTCCCACATGGGTGGCAAGGACCCAGCTGCCTGAGCCAGCATCTGAAGCTGGAGTCGGGAACTAACTATGGATCCCAGGCAGTCTGGTAAGGACGCACGCCTCATCTTACCTGCTGTGCCAAATATGCTCCCGAGTTCATATTTCTACATGAGACAGAGGTACTGTCATAACTGACCCTGTCTTGAACACTGTGCTTTGCAGGACAAAATAGTTCAGAGACATCCCCATGCCGCGTCCAGCAGCACCCTGGTAACCCTGCATCAAGAAAGACCTCACGTCCTACGTGGGGAGAGCAGGGATCCCTAAGGGCCCCTCATCTGTGGAAATACTACACAGTGCACCTGATTCCTTCCCACACACGGATGTCCCGTCTTTCACCTCTCTGTGCCTGGTACATGCCCTGGCCCAGACTCTTCCCCCCACCCACCCCTGCCCCCGTCTCCAATCTCGGTTGAGCTGGGCGCCTGTCCTCTGACACCAGCTTCACTGTATCGAAACTGTCCATGTCTGCCCACTTATTGCCTCCCCCTCCCACCCCATGCTTCTCTGGGGCAGGATCTGTAGGATCCTTCCTGGCACTCAGAAGGAACTTGTGGCATTGAACATTGGCGTCCTAGGGGCCCATGTGCCTTAGGGAGCATCTATATTTGCTGTTATTAGTCTTTAGGGACAAGATTGCTCACTGAATAATCAACTAATGTTAGAAGCTTAGGGATTCTGGGAGGGGATTGGGTGGGCAGCGAGCTATTCCCCTGGTATGTAGGGGGCATCTGATGGGGTCATTGAGGCAACCAGAGCTTCAGCCCCAGGCTTAGAGAGTGAACAGCGAACAGCTGGCAGGAAAGGATGGACTTTTTTTTTTTTCCTCATAAAACTTTTTATTTAAGGAAAAGTTTCATACATTTCATAATTACAACTTTAGGAACATGGTGATTCTTCCCATTGTATCTGCCCTCCCACACCTCTTCCTCCTCCCTCTTCTATTCCTACTCTTACTTTTTATAAGATCTACTTTCAATTAATGGTTTAACAGAATCGGTTATAGATGTAAGAGTTCAACAAATAGTACAATTAAAAGAAAACTTCAACAGTCGAGACAAAGGCTGTTCAAAGCCATTGCTTCTCTAAGTGTCAATTTCACTTCAACAGATTGTGTTTTAGGTGCTCTGAGTTATTGCAGGTCAGGGAGAAGATATGGTATTTGTCCCTTTGGGACTGGCTTATTTCACTAAGTATGGTGTTTTCCAGTTTCATATATTTTGTTAAAAATGACCAGATTTCATTTTTCTAACTGCTCTGTAGTACTCCATGGTTACATATCCCATAATTTCTTTATCCAGTCTTCAGTTGATGGGCATTTGGGTTGATTCCATGTCTTAGCTCTTGTGAATTGAGCTGCAATAAACATGGGGGTACAGATAACTCTATCATTTTCCTTTGGTAAATTCCCAGTAGGGTGGCTGGTTCACATGATAGGTGTATATTCAGATTTCTGAGGTATCTCCATACTGTCTTCCATAGTGGCTTTACCAATTTACATTCCTACTAAAAGTAAATTAGGGTACCTTTTTCCCCACATCCTCACTAGCATGTGTTGTTTGTTGATTGCTGTATGAAAGCCATTCTAACTGGCGTGAGGTGAAGCCTCACTTTGGTTTTGATTTGCATTTCCCTGATAGCTAGTGAGCCTGAGCACTTTTTCATGTGTCTGTTGGCCATTTGGATTTTCTCTTTGAAAAATGCCTGTTTAAGTTTTGCTCATTTCTTAACTGGGTCGCTTGTTTTGTTGTTGTTGAGTTTCATGATCTCTTTCTATATTCTATTTATTGATCCTTTATCAATTGCATAGTTGGCAAATAATTTCTCACGTTCTATCAGTTGCCTCTTCACTTTGCTGAGTGTTTCTTTTGCAGTACAGAAGCTTCTCAGTTAGTTGTAATGCCATTTGTCAATTTTGGCTTTGATTGCCTGTGCCCCTAGAGTCTTGTCCAAGAACTTTTTTTTAAGATTTTATTTATTTGAAAGGCAGAGTTACAGAGAGAGGTAGAGACAGAGAGAGGTCTTCCTTCCATTGGTTCACTCCCCAGATGGCCGCAACGGCCGGAGCTGCACCGATCCGAAGCCAGGAGTCAGGAGCTTCTTCAAGGTCTCCCATGTGGGTGCAGGGGCCCAAGAACTTGGGCCATCTTCCACTGCTTTCCCAGGCCACAGCAGAGAGCTGGATTGGAAGAGGAGCAGCTGGGACTAGAACCGGCGCCCATATGGGATGCCAGTGCTTCAGGCCAGGGTGTTAACCTACTGCGCCACAGCGCTGGCCCCTGTCCAAGAACTCTTTGCCTGCACCAATGCCTTGTAGTATTTCAGGGGCTGACTTCTAAGCCACCAAGTCATCACAGCCACACGTCCTTTGTCCATGACCTTCACAGCTGGTTTGTGCAAACCAGTTTGAAATAGAGAATCTGACATTGCATATGGTGATGTTCTTATATCTGTTTTAATCTAGCATGACCTCCTTTGCCCTTTCATGTAATGTTTGTGTCACACCAACCTGTTGAAGTGGATATATATCTATTTTTTTGGCTAGACTGTGCTATATGCTTCACAGTACATCACTTTGGGAGGTGGGAATGTCTGGCTGATCCTTCTTTCTAGCTCTCTCACATGACAAGGCAAGGTCAAGGCTAAAGCCTGGCTCATATGATGAGTGAAGATGCAACAAGCTGTTTTTACAGCAGTTTACTAATTACAGACATGAGCAGAGCTACATGGAAGGTGCTAGTTCTCCAGGATCTCTGTCCCATTCACCACAAATGTGAGACTGAGGCACAAGGGCCCAAGTGAGTGTAAGGCAGGGTAAGGACAGCCCATGGCTTGGAGCCCAGTGTAGAGCACCACTGGATGGAATTCCTGGACCCTGGCTTCAGCCTAGCCTAGTCCTGGCTGTTGCAGGCATTTAGGTACTGAACCAGCAGCTGGACGACCTCTCTCTCCTCTCTGTCTCTTCCCCCCTTCTCTGCCACTCTGCCTTTCACATATATAAACTAATAGCATGTTTTAGAAAAGAGAAAACTATACAGAACATATAACAAACATCTCTATCAGTACTTAATAAATGCTAATATTATGAAATACTTATTCAGATCCTCAAAAGCAGAAGAAACAGGTAGAAATAAGTTACAGGTAAAACCAGACCCTCTCCTTGGGAGTCATTTCTCTTCTGCCCTGAGATTTTTAAGTACTAAAATCATTCCAACATTTTGTATACTTTACCCTTTCTTGTTTCCACACTTGGCCACCACTGGAGGGGAATAAAAGATCAGGATAAA